TGATCACCTTAATAGTAATGATATGATATAATAAGGTAATAATGAAAAAGTTTGAAATATTGCAAGAATTACCAAAATGTGACACAGAGATACAAAGTGAGCAAATACTGTTGGAAAAATGGTGCCAGTAGACTTGCTTGATGCAGGGTAGCCACAAACCTTCAATTTGTTAAAAAAAAAAAAAAAAAAAAAAAAAGGGTCTTCCCTGGTGGCGCAGTAGTTAAGAATCCGCCTGCCAATGCAGGGGACACGGGTTTGAGCCCTGGTCCAGGAAGATCCCACATGCCGTGAAGCAACTAAGCCCGTGTGCCACAACTGCTGAGCCTGCGCTCTAGAGCCTGCGGACCACAGCTGCTGAAGCCCGTGAGCCTAGAGCCCGTGCTCCACAACAAGAGAGGCCGCTGCAGTGAGAGGCCCCCGCACCGCAGCAAAGAGCGGCCCCCGCCTGCCCCAACTAGAGAAAGCCCGCGCGCAGAAACGAAGACCTAACGCGGCCAAAAATAAATAAATAAATTTATTTAAAAAAATGCAAAGCACAATAAAGTAAAGCACAATAAAAGGGGGTATGCCTATACAATGAGAAAAGGACAGTCTCTTCTATAAACGGTGTTGGGAAAACTGAACAGATACAAAAAAGAATGAAACTGGACCACTATCTTACACCATACACAAAATGGATTAAAGATTTGAACGTAAGACCTGAAACTGTAAAACTCCTAGATGAAAACAGGTGATAAGCAACTTGACGTAAGTCTTGGTGATGATTTTTTGGATTTGACACCAAAAGCAAAGGCACCAAAAGCAAGAACGAACAAGTGGGACTATATCAAACTAAAAAGCTTCTGCACAGCAGAGAATCATCAACAAAATGAAAAGGCAACCTACCAAACGGGAGGAAATTTGCAAATCATATGTCTGATAAGGGGTTAATGTCCAAAATATAAAAAGAACTCATTTCAACTTAACAGCAGAAAACCAATCTGATTAAAAAATGGGCAGAGGATCTGAATATGCATTTTTCCAAAGACATACAGATGGTCAACAGGTACATGAAAAGGTGCTCAGCATTACTCATCAGCTGGAAAATGCAAATCAAAACCGCAGTGACATATCACCTCATACCTGTCAGAATGGCTATTACCGAAAACACAAGAGAGAACAAGTGTTGGTGAAGATGTGGAGAAAAGGGAACCCTTGTGCACTGTTGGTCAGAATGCAAATTGGTGCAGCCACTATGGAGAACGGTATGGAGGTTCCTTAAAAAATTAAGAAGTACTATATGATCCAGAAACTCTACTTCTGGGTACTTAATCAAAGGAAAACAGTAACTCAAAAAGATATATGTACGCCCATGTTCAACACAGTATTATTTACAACAGCCAAGATATGGAAACAACCTAATTGTCGCTTGATGAATGAGTGGATAAAGAAATTGTGGTATATACACAATGGAATATTATTTGGCCATAAGAATGAAACCTTGCCATTTGCAACAACACGTATGGACTTCAAGGGCCTTACGCTAAGTCAGTCAGTCAGAGAAAGACAAATACCATATGATCTCACTTATCTGTGGAATCTAAGACAAACACACAAAAGAAAACAAAAAAGTCAAACCAAGCTCATAAATACAGAGAACAGATTGGTGGCTGGTTGTTGGGAGTGTGTAAAAAATAGTTGAAGGGGGTCAAGAGGTATAAACTTTCAGTTATAAAATAAATAAGTCATGGGTATAATGTACAGCATGGTGACTATAATTAATAATACTGTATTGCATATTTGAAAGTTGCTAAAAGAGTAGATCTTAAAAGTTCTCATCACAGGGAAAAAAGAATTTGTAACTATGTGCAGTGATCATTTTGCAATATATATCCCTCATCTTTCCTCCACTGCTCTTGTTTTCATTCTTGAATATCTCAATGCTAGATACTATAACTATATATTCCAGCAATTCTTTTAATAAGTACAGTCATATGATATGTGTGGGGATGTGTTTATGTACATATGTGTATGTATATCCTTAAGAAAAAAAAAAGAGAAAAATCAACAGCAGATATGGAATGTCACCAAACAAAAATTGACTTAGTCCAGAGAAAGCTGAAACTGACAGGGGCTCCTTAGGGTGGTCTGGTAACAGGAAACAAGCAGACTTGCTAGAGACCCCCAGAAAGGCTCAGGTTATCTAAAGCATCAGATATTCAATATGTCTGAAACAAGGGTCCAGGGCAATGTTGAAGCTGTATCAGTAGCACTTGAACCCACAGATCTCTCCACAAATAGCAAAGAACCTTTATGTTTTGGAGGGAACCTTTATGTTTTACGACTCTATGAGATCTAAACAGCTAAGGATAGGAGGCCCTGTACTGAAAACAGTTTGTCTAAGTTTTCTCAATGCCTTCCAGCCACTTTCCACCATTTGCCTTCCACCGTTCTAGGGGTCAGGTTTACATCCCCAGGAATTCCCTCAAAGAAAACAGATCTGCCAAAGAGAAAGTACCCACAGGATTCTAATATTTGCGAGTTCCTTCACTGAAAAAGTGGCCCTGTTGTCCTACATGGAAATCCACTAGCCAACAGAGCCAGACCACACACAGTTAGCTCCCAGTCAGTTTTTAAAGTGTCGCACCTTCAAATGTGAACAGAGTCAAGGATCACAAGGCATCTGAAGAAAGATTTGAGAATGAGCCAGAACCTAAAATAATTAGGTAGCAAAATGAGACCCCATGAAATATAGAAGAAAACTTCAACAAAACTATAATGTCCTCAACAATGCACAGTGAAAGATAGTCCATCATGATAAATTAAAAGACTAAACCAAAAAAAAAAAAGTACTTATTAATCACAGGAAAAACAAAAATCATGCAAGAAAGGAAATATGGCCCTAACACACCATATGGCAATTCTTGAAAAATATCTATAGGGTTAGATAATACATACTAAACCCTAATTTAAACACAAATTGTAACTGGTTGTACTGGTAGGAAGGCAGGAAGAGGAAAGTGTCAGGACAGCTATGGCTAGGAGATGTGAGAGCAAAATCCTCATTTTTCACAGAAATAACAACGATAGCATAAAACATACCATGTTCCAGGCACAGTTGTAAATACTTCATATCTATTAATTTATTCAACCTCATAAAACCCTTGCTACTATTATCACCCCTGTTTTATACATGAGGAAACTGGAACAGAAAATGCAAGTAATTTGCCAAAAGTCACAATTAACTAATAATAAAGCCTAGAATCAAACGCCAACAATACAACTCCACAGGCCATGTTCCCATATACTCTAACACAGTTCTCAATAAGTTTTTACACCCTAAAGAATTATTGAGCACACCAAAGACTCTTAGTTCACGCTCGTTATATCTATCAAGAATATTTCAACAGCTTTTCCAGAATTGTGGATATCCTTTAATGCAACACAAAATTCAATGAAGATTTCTTAAACGTTAGTTGCAATGTCAAATATGAAATCTTATCAATGAACTTTTCATATTCTGTTATGTTAAAATCCATGGGCCTATCCTGCAACTTGAGGGTATAATTTGCATGTACTGGTCGTGTAGAAAATACTGGTTCACTCAGTTATGTGTATCTTCCAAATGTTAACATATTTTACTGTGCAATATCCAAACGTCACATTAACATCCCCACTGATCCATCAGAAAAGTGCAGCCATTGGGAAGCTGTCAAGTAAGATCACAGTCGTGAATACAAGTTTTCCAAAATTCTAATTTTCTCTCAAAAACTCGAATTTTTTTCATTGGTAAGAAATATCTGGCTTTCCTTGAAGTGGCAGGTTCACTGTTCATTTCTGAGAAAATGCCAGCCACATTCCCAAGTCTGACTAACCATGTCTGTCAGTCATTCTTTCAAATAAACACGATGTTCCATGAAAAAGTGGCTAGTTCAACTCACAGCTCAAACAATCATATCCATAACTTTTCTGGAAACATCCACCACACTTCGGTATATACTTTGGAAATGCCTGGTGTCTACTTCCCATTTCATCACACACAATATTCCAGGGTTGAAAATTAATAAAATGTGTAATTTTTATTGCTTCATCAAGGATGTTAAGTGAAACCGGCCTTATTATTGTTTTCTGTAAACGATGAACAGGGTTGAAGGTAAAATGATCGCTTGATGCCATCAGTTTTAACCACCACTGCTCTTACACCATGAGTGCAAACATCAACACAGTGAAAAAGGGCAAATAACACCTTAGTGCTGTTTCAACAAATAGTTTGACCTCATGGACCTCTTGGATGGGACTCAGGTATTCCCAGGAATCTGCAGATAATTTCTGAGAAGCCCTGCACTGCACTAAACAGCCTCATGTATACACAGGGTCTAAAACGAAAAATAAAGAAGTGGCAATAAAAGTACCTTTTAAAATAGGAAGGCCCATACCAAAAGAGCCAAACGAGCCAAAGAAGGGCAAGCCTGGGACTGTCTTTCATAGCAAGTCTTGTACTATTTGATTTTTTTAGAAGCATGTATTATTCTGATAAAAATCTGCAAAAATATCTAAATACTTCCCCATCAACAAACACTTCGCTCCTTTCCACAAGGTTATCCCAAATACATTTTGGTGGGGGTGCGGGGAACTCTTGCCCCTACATGTCAACACACAGTAGTCACAAAAGTATTAGACACTTACAGACAAAATATTAAAAGAAAAAGGTCGGAAAACACTGCCTCACCTCATTAGAGAAAAACAAACATGAACTAGACAAAAATGTGCAAAATAAAACAGAAAGCGCCTCCAGAACACCATTTCTATCCAGGATCTCATAACCTTTAATAGATCCATGCTCAACATCAACATTTAAACTAAGCGCACAATCTCTGTAAGACACAGAGAAAATATTCTCTCTCCAGATCCAAAACAGATGAGGTGCACTGGAGAGTACCAACACTGTACAAAAGCTTTCTAACAGAGCAAAACATACTCCTAGAAGAATTCATGACGGAACTTAAAAAAGAAAACCATACCTGACAAGGGGAATTCTTGGTCAAAGAAGCATTCTTTAAATTCCGCTGCTGGGCAATGAAACGAATTAGATGGTTTGTTTCCGGAGAGCCCCGAACACCAACTGTAGAGCGTCGTCTGGATTTTTTAAGGTAGGATGATGACTTTCCTATAATAAAAACTCTTTTGTAAGTTGGAACACAACAAGGCAATCAGTAATCATGCCCTGAATACCCATGATCCACCAGCCTGAGAGAGAATATGATGAACGCATCGTACAGGGATCTAAATGGAAAAGTACAGGCAAAATTGTGCACACATTATCAGATGGGTAGGTACCTTTGTTTTGTCTATTGATTTATGCCATACCCTGGAGCGGTGCTTGGCACATAGCAGGCGTTTATCAAAAAGTTGTGGAACAAATGCATGAATACATTTGAATTAACAGGTGTCATTTTTGTTTCTTAGTTCCTGCACAGAGTTGGTAATGGATTGCTTTGGACTAAAAATTTCTCTTTTTCTGATCCCCAAGGACGATCTCCTCCCAGGCACACACTCTCATGTCCTCAATTGTTCACAATAATTTGTTTCTCTTAGATACCTGTCTACCTTCAGCACACTACCCTGAATTCCAACCAGTTTAGCTTTTTAAAGGTCTAAGAATGATGTTCTTGAGAAGGGAACACAGGTTGGCATCCACTTCGGTCTTGTCTCCATCAGGTATTACTAGTCTAGTGCCCCCTGATTTTCAAGTCCCCCATTATCCTCCATTTCTAAATTCTATTTTCTAATTCCATTCCCATTATTTGTTTCTTCAGCTAAATCAGACTTCACAGGTGAATTTCATTTCTACTCCATAAAGGAGATTAGCCTGAGTCAATTTTCTGTTTGAGATTTTGAAAGAGGTATGCCCCAGTCTTTCAATGTCATATTTTCTTAATTGTCCTTCAACTTTCTCTCATTTTTACCATACATGACCATAAAATGTATTACTATTTTCACATACACACTCCTGTATCCCATGTGTCGGGTCAAAGAGTGACTCGCACGCATGTCCTTTTCCAGTTTGGGCCTGGAGCGCAGCTGTGACTTAGTTACAGTATCATGCTGGGTGCCCTGGGACCCTGATCTCCCTGATCCAGCAAGTCTGAGAGTCAATCAATTTAGATAAAGTAATAAGATAGACAGGGTAAGTGAACAAAATAGAGTTTAATTTTTCAACTTTTAAAGGCACTGCAAAAGAAGAAGAACATCTCTTACCTGAAGAGTTCTTTACAAAACTTTCAGGTGTAATTCCCAATTGCTCCACAGTTACTGTGGAAAAGTTCAAAGGTGATTGAAAAGCATCTGACAAGCAACGATTAGGAGTCACTTCAGCTGCAGGCTTGTGAGGAGTTACAAGCTTCCCATTTCCCAAAATGAAAGAGGTATCTTCTGAAACAGACAACATGTAGGGTCTAAACATCATTATCAAGATAAACACCTAAACCTTAAATTTCACAAAGAAACAACAGGTCACTACATACCAGCGTTATTAATAGCAGACTCCTTGGTTTCAAGGGGCTTGCTGTCTTTTGAACTATCATCCATCTAAAAAAGAGAGAGAAGAATGAAAAAAGAAAAATAACCCCACCTCCAAAATTAATGTGATTTGATCGAGATCCTCTTTCAAGACTGAATTCTAATACAACCTATACTGGCACGAAAACGGATGACAAGAGACTACTTTTGGAGCTCAAATTAAAGAGAAATGGAGGAAACTGCTGTTCGGGATGAAACAAAGCAGATCCCATACAATAAAGCCAAGGCTTTCCAACCTTAGCGAACATCAGAATCATCTAGGCACCCTGTTGGAGAAGCGGCTTTGCGGATTCCCAAAAATTCTAATTCAGGAGGTCTGGCTGGGCCCCAGAAATCTGCATTTTAAAAAGCAGGCGGGTGATCCAGTAGAACACACTTCTGAGAAACACGTCGAAGAAACAGCTCTGCGCCACTACTGTCTCGGAACTCCCAACCAGGCCGCTTGCCTTACCTCCCTCTCGGGTTTATTTTGAACACTCCGCCGATGAGTGTCGTGGCTGTCGTGCCTTCTAGACCTCGGCTCTCTGGTCCTGATGGGCTCGCTCAAGAAAGTAACTGTCGGCCGCCAAGCCAGCCGCGGGGGGCTACCTGGTCCCCGGCCGCCGACCCCCAGACCCCACAGCCGGCGTTACCTATACCCTCCCCTCCGCCCGGCCGCGGCCCGCCGTCCGATTCAAATCGCCGGCCCCGCCTCCTCGGCGTCCCGGCGTTACTCTGAGAATCTCTACGCCCACGCCACTCGCACGTGTGCGCGCGCGCACCGAACTCTCCCAGACCTCTACCTCGCCTTCCCAGGAACAGGAGTGGCTTCGTGGGCTCGGAGAAACACCACCGCTAGCCGCAGTTGACACACTGTCCAGTGAGCTCCACTGCTGACCTGCGTCCCCGGGAACTATTTTCCGTGAGAGCCTCGCGGAGGAATTATCTAGTTAGCGGTTTGGTTCCGTCCCCGGCCTTTCGATTGGATGCTGCGAACTTCGAAAAGAATCATTGAACCAATCCTGACAGAACGACGGGCTGGCTCTTACCCAATCAGCCAGTCCCGACCGCAGCCGTTTCCTCGGTGGGCTGAGCGAGTGGGAGGGGTTAAAGTTGGGAGGCTCTGAGTGGTTGTGGATCACTTCCAGCGCTCTGCCTCTTCCCTCAAGCCCCGCCTCCGTATGCAGATGAGCTCTACCTGGTGTTGGCTATGCGCCTGCTCAGTAACGCTTTGAGCCGCCGTTCGGCTCCAGGTTCAGCTCTGATTGGCTGAGAACCCTTCCCCGTCGGCTAGACTGCAGCCTCTCTTCCCTCCTTCCACCTGGGCTGGGTTAGTTAGAGCCCACCCAGTGCAGGGCGATGATTGGCTGAATTTTGGTCGGCGCTGCCCGCTGATTGGCGGAGCTTAGAGTCAGTCTGGGAGAGGTGGGGGAAGGGCCCCAGGCTGACTGAGGAGCCCAGGGGCGGGGTGGGAAGGAGGACCCGCCAACCTTGGGGTGTGGGTAGGAGAGTGCGTGCCTGTGTGTGTGTGTGTGTGTGTGTGTGTGTGTGTGTGTGTGTGTGTGTGTGTGTGTGTGTCTGTAAGGGAGGGAAGGTGGCGAAGGGAGGAGAGTCCGAGTGGGTGGAGGGAGGGGAAGGGCGGGAAAAGAAAAAGGTGGGAGGAGAGCCAGGTGGGAGGGTGGCGACTCACTCAGGACCCGGTGGGGGCAGCGCGATGAGGCGGGTGACCCTGTTCCTTAACGGCAGCCCCAAGAATGGAAAGGTAAGGGGGTCGGGAGGAGGCGAGGCGGGCCCGGCTGCTGGGGGCGAGGGCAGCGGAGTGCGGAGCGGGCGCACAGGGCTGAGGGCTGAAGTTGCGGAGAGGGGCTGGGAGCGGGAAGGTGGGCGTGCGCCGGGGTGGGGGGCGTCCAGGAGGAGGCGAACGTCGGGTCCCCGCGGCCTCCTCCCCACCCCCGGGATCCCTAGCCCGAGCCTGCCCTTGGACTCCCCAGCTGCTCTGGGGACCAGCGCGCAGGTCAACTTGTGCTCAGTCGTTCCCAAGTCCAGGTGTGGGTCCTGGAGACCAGAGGACTCGGAGGGCGTGGGGAGGGCCGCTGTCACCTGATGCTTCTATTCCTCTTCCCACTTCCCCCAAGACCCCGCTGCCCCCCACCCCTGGCTACAGAAGGCGCCGGTTCCCACCTTCGTGCTGAGTAATGGTCTGCTCCAGAAAGTGGCCGTAACGACTAAGGCGTGTAAGGTTGATCAGGTGAAAAGAATTTCAACTCTTTCTCACCGTGGATGAGTAAAACACTCTCCCATCCTAGGGCCAATAGACGGATGGAAAATTGGTGACATTTTCTTGATGGTCCCCCTCCCTCCCCCCCTTTAGGAGCCCCAAGCCCCGCCGCCGTCAAACTTTTGTACTCGCTTTAGTCTTTCGCCGTATTTTAGTTCCGTAGAGGACTAGGACAATAGACCAAAATGGATTGATTGGACATTGCTCTTTGCTGTGTTAGGCCTTTGTTGAGCGTGTGGTGCTAAATATTTTTCCAGCGCTGGAGTAAGCCAACATGAATCCTGTTCCTTCTCAGCCTCTTGCCCCACCCATGAAAGTTCGGCTTCTTTGGAAAATTTGACTGTTTAAGGCAGACGTTTATGGTGTGGCTAAATGACGTTTAGAAATAATTAAGCCTTGTGAGTCTGAGATGAAGATAGATTGGGCTCCCTGTTTCATTAGCCAGAATGGTTTGTTTCCTGCATCTTTCGGAAACATTGCACATTTTTAAATAGCGTAATTGTGCCACGGTTTAAAAAAATGGCTTTCCAGCTACTGTGCAGTTTTGAGTGAACGTGCTGTAAAAATTTGAACCGCACTGTAGTGTGTTGACTATAATGTTGCGTTCTTCTGGTTTTAGAGATTTAATACTCATATAAAAACAGAACTGGCATAATAAATTCAAGTTCTTGAATTTTCACAAATGCTGCCTCAAAATAGGCTTCCCAAGATTCACATTATTTCTGACCCTTTTTAACTTTTTCTGTACCTGTTTTGTCTGTTGATTACTACTCATAATCTAAAACATATTGTTACGGGAAGAAAGATTTAGTAGATCCAAAGTTACAATTGCAGTACGTTCTCAAAAACAGATCTCTCATTGACCCTTTTATTTAACATCTCTGCTATGTTATTCCATGGAAGACAACATGTTTAGACCCAGCCATAAATATTTAACTATTTCTTCTGAAACTACTGAATTTTGTTCTTGTCAAAAGTTGGCTGGCTTAGTCTTGCCATATTTTTAATAAGGTGGCTTTTTTCTGAAAGCTACTTACTTTTGACTAGGTTAGGTTTTGTTTTGTTTTGTTTTGTTTTTTTTTGCGGTACGCGGGCCTCGCTGTTGTGGCCTCTCCCGTTGCGGAGCACAGGCTCCAGACGCGCAGGCTCAGCGGCCATGGTTCACGGGCCCAGCCGCTCCGCGGCATGTGGGATCTTCCCGGACCGGGGCACGAACCCGTGTCCCCTGCATCGGCAGGCGGACTCCCAACCACTGCGCCACCAGGGAAGACCTAGGTTAGGTTTTTGGATTTGATTTTATTTGCTTTAAAAATATTTTGCTAGAGAATTGGAAAAAACTCATCTCAAATAGTTAAATGTGTTTATGTTACAAAGATTATAAAAACCCAAACTAGAGAATACCAGTATGATTCAATATTAAAAATAAGTCATGCCATAATCCTTGCTACTTAACTGGAAAACATTCTGTGCCAAACTTGTCAGTGTTTCCTCTCCTCTCCCTTAAGCTGATTAAAAAAATAATATTATAATTACTCTTATTTGACCAAAGAGAGCAGAATAATACATAACATGTATTTTCTGTATAAATAGTCACTGTATTTCGTCAGGGTTGGCATGATCTTGACATGATTTTTTATGGAGCTGAAACAAAGTACTACAAGGAGATAGAGTTTGGTTTCCTATCCACCGGTTGGAATGTCTGTGTCACTTTCATCATCTCCTTGTTTACCTAGCCTCTATTTTTGTTTCCTGGCCATAAGAGTAATGCCTGTCTTTTTCAAATAAGTTTCCCTCCTTTAAAGCTTGTTCAGTGGTTGACAGCCTGGGCTGTGAAGCTTGGGGTTAGGAAGACACAGAGTCACAGCAGGGGACTACATCATAGACTTTTGACTTTTCTGTACATTGAGTAAACATAAGTATGACTACTAAATGTTTTGAAGAGGGGGCTGTGCCTTCTCTAAAACAGTGCTTTCCAGAGTGAGAGGGTCCACCACAGGGGGCGTGCAAGAGGATCCAGTAGAGTTTAAGAAGAAATATTACACCTTTTATTTATATCTTTTACTTAAAGATATAAAATTATATTAAGACTTGGTTTGTCCAATCTGGAAAGACACAGGTGCTTTTTTTTTTTTTTTTTCTCTTTTCTTGCGGTACGCGGGCCTCTCACTGTTGTGGCCTCTCCCGTTGCGGAGCACAGGCTGTGGATGCGCAGGCTCAGCGGCCATGGCTCACGGGCCCAGCCGCTCCGCGGCATGTGGGATCTTCCCGGCCCGGGGCATGAACCCGTGTCCCCTGCATCAGCAGGCGGACTCCCAGCCACTGCGCCACCAGGGAAGCCCGACACAGGTGCTTTTAATGACTGAGAATGTCAGCTGGTCTCGTCTTCTGAGAGGAGGCCGGACGTTCACATGGGAAAAGCTGACAGTCGCTTCTTCACCGGTTGGTTCCCTTTGGCATATTGTGATATGGTGAAGCTTACATGTGCCAGGTTAAGATGTGTATTATACCGTTTTCACTAAATTAACCCTCACCAAAATGCCAAGTGGCTTGACAAGATTCCTTCAAATAAGATGCAGATCGAAGACAATACTAACTAGGCAAGCACAAGTAAGCCATGAGAAATGGCAGGGCTGCCACTTCTAATATAAACTCTCAGATTAAAAAAAACAAAAAACAGGGACTTCCGTGGTGGCGCAAAGGGGTTAAGAATCCGCCTGCCAATGCAGGGGACATGGGTTCGAGCCCTGATCGGGGAAGATCCCACATGCCACGGAGCAACTAAGCCCGTGCGCCACAACTACTGAGCCCACGCGCCTAGAGCCCGTGCTCCACAGCAAGAGAAGCCACCGCAATGAGAAGCCCGTGCTCGCTGCAACTAGAGGAAGCCTGCACACAGCAATGAAGATCCAACACAACCCAATAAATAAATAAATAAACAAATTTATAAATAAAAATGCCAATCTTTAAAAAAAAAAACAGTGGATTTATAGATCGGAGAAGAGGGCAAAAAGTGCCAAATTTTAAAGAAGACTATTTGAAGTCCTATTTAATAACTGCTATTAACAGTAAATTGCTCCCCAAGTGTATATCGTTCTTTGAGATATTAGCCAGTAATAGGATGAGGCCATCTCAATTAGCAAGATATTTCAAAGTACTTTCCAGCACACAAAGACAGTTTCGGATTTTTTTTTTTCTTTTAATGTGTAAAGTCAACCTTGAATTTGGCAGGAGTTCACTAAGCTTAATGATAAATATTTACGGGATTTTTACTGGTTTACTCATCGTCTTGAGTCAGTAAAAGTCCTCTTATCATTTGGGAAATTATATTCTTCCTGACAGTGGTATATACTTTATAAATAAGTAAATAAGTATACAAATGTTTGAGGCCATGCCCAAAAACGTTTTACTTAAGGGGTACATAGTGAAAAACATTTGAAGGCCATATTTCTAAAAAAAACGGGATCTTTACATTTTAGTTTGTTTAAGTTGCCCCAGAAGAGTCGGGTTTGAACCTTTTCATCCTCTCTCCATATGCCTCAGAATTCCCGTTGTTCTCCTTTTAACATTCTGTGTAATAGTTGGCATCAAGGAATATGAAATGAGAACTTAGATCTCTGAATGTAGTGAGTGGCTTTTGAGCAACCCGATGTAAATTCAAAGTTTCCGTACATCTTGGACATAAGTTGCTTTTTTTTTTAAATTGAGAATATTCAATAATGTGCTGTGCCAGTTTTAGGCCTTTTGTATACCTTATTCATTCATTCAGTCAACACTTAGACTGAGTTCTGTCTTTGAGGAGGAACCATGCCAGGCCCTGCAGATATAGTGGGATATGAAATAGATCTTAATTCTGTACTGATGTTTACAGTCTTGGTCCCAGACCTGTTTTCTTCCGGCTTTGATATTAGGTCAGAAATGTGTTGTTGGTATTAACAGAGTTTCCAGAGTTGAATTCATTGTGTTGAGTTGAAGAAAGGTGAAAATCTATGTAAAGCTTTGTCTATTGAAATCTAAACATTAATAAGAAACTTGCTCTTCAAGTTTAAACGTTTTTAAAATGTATTTGATACATATAAAAGAATACAATAAAGAATATTAATATGCATAAAATTAAAAGGAAAATAATATAATGAATATCAGTAAACTTACACAGCTCAAGAAATAGCATATTATAAAAACTTAATGTTTGTCTACTTTCCTATATCCCATGAAGGCAGCCAATTTCATGAATTCTTTTTCAGTAAATAGTTTTGCCACGTATGTATGTATAAGTAAACTATATGTTTTGTCAGCTTTGGGATATATCATACCCTAAACTGGTATCACATTGTACATAGTCTTTTTGGTTTTGTTTTTGCGGCACGTGGGCCTCTCACTGTTGTGGCCTCTCCTGTTGTGGAACACAGGCTCCAGACGCGCAGGCTCAGCGGCTATGGCTCACGGGCCCAGCTGCTCCGCAGCATGTGGGATCTTCCCAGACCGGG